AGATATCTAACTTTCGAACTTCTTTTGCCTAGAAATGATGACTACCCTTTCGAGTTCCAATTACAGGCAACACTTATACAATCATTTTACCACTCACTTTTTCGATTTTTTTGATACAGTTACTCCCCCATCAATGTTACGCCTTTTTGATGAACCGCGAGTTTTAGGGCCTTCAAATGGATCATCGCTGTTTTCAACGCTCTCACGCAAGTCCCGAGTTGATGAAGTTGATGACGGTTTATTCCGACCAATCTGAAGACAGACATTTCAAAAGCAAAACCAAAGAAGTATCCAAAGATCGTTGAAAAACAGTGCGTATGACTACAATACCTTCAGAACAAGTCTGGTCCCTTACTACTTACCTGCTTTAAAGCTTCGTGAACAGGACCAATAGCCAAAAGATCTCTTTCCTTCAATGCAAACGACTGACCGTCTTCACTTGACTCAAACAGCTCATTTTCCTTAGCTAGTGTTTTCAATAATGTTTGATGCCAAGTGTTCTTCACCCTAAACTAATTCTTTCCACCAAAATACATTTTTAAGCAGTAAGCCAGTAGTAGCATCGTAACTCACACGTAACAGACAAGAAAAGCCATCCCTCGAGAAAGTAAATTGTACGAAAGTAACTGAAAGTGACCTTCGTGTCATGGATGTTAAATTTTCCCATTGTGAGTTGAAAAATGGAATAATCTCTTTCTCAAAATTGAAGTAGATTGGAGCACTCAGTGGATCATTCGGCACATTTCCAGTACCAGCCCTTCTTTGGAGTTCTCCAAATGTAAGGTTTGCGAGAACAGTGACGCACATGTGCGCAAAATCTAGAAATTAATAGCAGAATTAAAACGTCGGTGACTGGTTATAAGGTTAAATGAACAAATAAGAATCGCACTTGCTTGTTTAGCAGTCCACGACTCCTTCTTTGTAGAGCTGCATTCACTACAGTTGAAGACGTAACACACCATAAAAGGCAAACCATAATTGAACCTGAGACAACAATAAAGTACAGCAAAAATGCTGAAGAAAAGATCATTTTCTAAACATTTAACCGGTCAAGAAAATAAAATGGCTTTATTCCTCCTCTAAGAAGATTTTAGTATGTAACTCATACAGATCTTTCAAATCCCTGAGACACCTTCCGTGAAACCATTTCCGACATCCAGCGCAAAATAATTCTAACATTCCTAGTTCTCGTCGACCGTCACTATAAGGAAGCAACAACTATTGCAGTGGAAAGCCATGAGAAAAACTAAACCCATACGATAATTTACAATACTGTACTGCTCATACCAGTAACAAACAGACGATGAGATCGGTCTAGGAACTTCCTTGCGGTTTTTCTGGCGCATCGTTTAAAGAAAGCCAAATACAACAGACATTCAAGTAAAACCAAGCAATATAAAACCAGCAAACCACAGGAGGAATATAGCTGTAATATCAGAAAGCTTCGGCAGGCCGGAAATGTCTTCAAACCTAAGAAAATTGCATAAGGTCAAATAAAATTTGTATTATACTTTTTTCACTCCAATAAATGCACTGACACTTAGCTAGTTCACTTAACACACCTTAAGAGTCAAAACAAAAGAACCTTCCTAAACTTTCGACTTAGCACTTTTATGTCAGTTCAAGACAATAAGTTTTCCAACGAAAATCCAGTACTATAAAGGGTATAAGACCTTCCGTATTTAATAGCTACTAGACCCATAACGTGGCTTCATTACCTTCAGATATAGCAAAAAAAATCTCTATTATCATTTGATCTGGACCTTTAAATCTTCAACTTAAAGCTTATATTTCAAAAATATTTTTAATCACATCTACTCCCACCCCCTTCCCTCTGTATGCGCTCAGTGAGCGAATTAATGAGAACAGAATTTATATGTAAAAATTACTTTTAGAATCAGTGAAGCCAACAACTTTCACAAACTCCACTATAAATATTATAAAAAAAAGCTAATTAATGGTACTCTTATATGAACTAAACAGCTTCTAAATGATGATTGACTACCATCTCAGTGATTCGCGGGAGTTAGATATACGGCACAAGGAGCAGTGAGCACAAGCAAAAAATAAAAGAAAAAACAAAAAGGCAAAACGAGAAAAAAAATGATAATGACTCAATGAAAACAAAGCAAAATCCGACTCGTTACGTATAAAATACTACATGCACCGGCAAACTGTAACCTACGACAGTTTCAAATTTGCCAATATACTTTTCCCAACTTTCGAAAAATCTAGTGCTGAAGTGCTGAACTAATCACTATGCTATATCACAACGCCACTTTTCTGATGTGGGCTGTGATTCCTAGCAACTCTTCTTTAAGAAAAGGTTAAATGATGAGTTAAAAAAGCACTTTAACACCGTATCTATAAAAGCCAGAGAAGAACTGCAAATACGATCCTGAAACTGTCCCAGATGAACGTTTTTCAAGCAAAGATAAAATATGCACAAAACGAATAAAAAAAACCACGCTTGGAGGTAGGGGCATTCATAGCACCTCATAATCCACTTTAATCCACTTCTGTCTAAACAAGATGCATGACCTTGTGAGTGTAATGCAAAATGTGAATAAAACAGAGACAAATCGTAACTCCCATCAAGGTCCTTCCTGTATATTTCGCCGTTAAAGCAAGTTACGAGCATCAGAATAGCGACACGGCAGGAAAAAGGTTTCCTCGTCGAGATTCTTGCGTAAAAAATGTGGCTGTAGTATTCGCATTTATAAACGGATTCATTTCTAATTTGGCGTGAAAATTTTCGTAAACAGGAAAGCTTTTTTTTGGAGAAACTCCAGCATTTTTGGCTCAATGCCACTGTGTTAAGCAAAGGCAGCTGGATGTTATTCAACTGCCCTCCGTAAAGGAGTGCTAAACTTTTATTCCAGTTGTGTATATGATGTGATATCAATGTCATTTTGTTTGAAAGATGCTCAGTCTCTTGTAATCCAAACTTTTCATCTTCCCATCCATCTCCTGTCGAGATATTAGCAGAAATGTGACAGCGTTTTCATTCTTACCAGGTAACTTCTAACTAATTTGCTATTATAAATTCGTTCACATTAACACAATTTTTTTTTTAATGATATGTATCAACAGGAAAAAAAAATGTAAAAAGAAACAGAAGGTTTCCAGTTGGATGAAAAAAAACACGGTTTTTGGTAGTTCCTCAATTGACACTTAGAAATCAACCCGACTATATACAGGAAGTCAAGAAACGGAATCCTCTATCGATTTCTGTAGGCGACGTCATTTCCAATTTGTGCCAAACTTTTTTGCGTTAGGACGAAGGCTACAGTGTGTCAAA